TACCAATTAATTTATGACTTATATTAATCAAATAGCTAAATATTATTCCTTATAATATTTACTCTCTCTTAACAAATCATCCTTCAAGTTGCTATGGTGAAGGCAACCCAAAAGGACCATGCACAACCGAATATAGTTACAGCCTTAGACACTATTCCAACAGATACAACTCAAAGGTCTTGTGAAATCATCAACTATTTACCCATCCATAATTTGCATGTTGTTATATATGTGTTTAAAACTCATGAAGCTCCTCGTAGAAGCCCAAAATTCAAGATTTTGGTTAAGTCCCCAGAACTTAAACTATATTTCACAATCAATTGTTGATTTGAAGTAAAAACTAGTATTTATATGAATTATCATTCATAAAATCTTACGTCAAAAGTCACAAGGAAATTGTTTAAACAAAATATTGGAACTAATATTTTGAAAATATTAATTTATGATAATATTGATACCTTGAGCTATTTTTCGTCCATATAAATATACATACATACGTACATACTTACTGTAACGCCCGTAGATCTGGGCTAGTCAATTTAGAGATGATAAGCATCAAAAATGATTTTTTTATGGAAGATTATTTAGAAGGAGTAATCTTAACTAAGTTATAGTATATGTTACAAGGATTTCGTACATATAAAGAATGCCGAAATCCGAGTTATAACGAAGAAGTTATGACATGTCAAAGTTTCACGACAGAACCGGCACGACCCAGCGCGACGTAAATAGTGAATTTTCGTTAGAGCGATATTTAGCCTTAGAGATCTAAATGAAAGTTGTAGAATACATTAAACCAAGAGCATGCATAAAAACGTCTAAATCTGACTTCTTATGAGGAAGTTATGATTTTTCGAAGTTTCAGCATTAGTAGTGTACACCTCGAAGTTCGAATATGAGGTCGAGCGATATTTAGTCGAAACAATCTAAATGAGAATTGAAGATCTCATCGATAGTAGTGCAACGGCAGAAATACAGATGAAAATGGACGATAGATGAAGAAGTTATGAGTTTATAATGTAGTTTTCCTGTGCCAACCTACTAAAAATAAGATATAAATAATATTATAAATATAAATTCAAAATTAGCCGACGAAGTCTAAATGAAAGTTGTAGATCTTGTTTTTACCTACGCGTCGATATAAAGAATGTCGAAAACGAAGTTCGTATGAGAAAGTTATGAATTTCTGAAGTTCGGGGCGCGAAACCCCAAAACTGTCAGAGTTCAAGACGTGAATATAGTGTTCACGATATGAACTCAGTATTTATGACTTCTGGAGCCTGAGATACGCAAGTTGCGATGACGCACCTGACTACTATTGAGCTCATGACGTAAATATATAAGATTCATGACGTGAATCCAGAAAATGGCCCTATAAATATAATTCAACGGGGCATCCGAGTTTGGTTGCTCAATCTCTTCTCTCCCACTCCCGATACCCTCTCTAAGCCCCATTTTAACCCCCCCCCCCCCCAAAGCCCTGATATCATCTCGAGACCCAAAGCATGTCCCGAAGCCAAAAGATCCCAAGAACAAAAGAGTTTCCGAGCCGAAGCTCTGCCAACGAGAAGCCCGGTGTGCGAAGTGACCCCTGTTTCACCGAAGAAGTACTACTCTTAGAGCCGTAGTGTTGTCCGATCATCTTCTGATCAAGTGAGTGTATAGTCCCTTTCATAACACGATTTTTATACAAGTATTGTTTGAATGTATTAAGTATATGTTTTGTGTGAGTGTGTAGTCACTTTCTTCTAACACACAAATATGAAGTATTTGCTATGAAATACGTGCTATGTGTTTATATATTGTTCTTTATTTGAGATGAGTGTGGAATGGATGTTTTATATAGTTTTAAATGAGTCAAACTGTATATGTATTTTATATCTACAAATATGTTGGGTAGGACATGGGTAGATGAGATTCGTGAGTATGGATCAGATCAAGAGGTTAGTTTTAGATCCGTGAGTATGGATCAGATGAAGAGGTTAGTTTTATATCCGTGAGTATGGATTAGACCAAGAGGTTAGTTTTAGATCCAGGAGTATGGATCAGGTAAAGAGATAAAACTTGTTATTAGTCCGGGAGTACGGATTAAGACTAACTTAATTGTCCCTAGTCCGGGAGTATGGATTCGGCACAATTATTGATCCAGGAGTATGGATTAGCTCAGGATTAAGGTATAGTTAATTGTCCCTATTCCAGGAGTATGGATTGGGTACAATTATTGATCCGGGAGTATGGATCAGATCAGAAGGTTAGTTTTAGATCCGTGAGTATGGATCAGGTAGTTTTAGATCCGGGAGTATGGATCAGGGGAAAAGGTTAGTTTTAGATTCGTGAGTATGGATCAGGTGAAAAGGTTAGTTTTAGATCCGCGAGTATGGATCGGGTGAAGAGGATAGTTTTAGATCCGTGATTAGGGATCATATAAAGAGGAAAATTTTAGATACGAGAGTTTAAACTGTGTAGTTGTATGGATCGATGGGGTGGGAAAAGAGTTGCTTGTATACAGTGAAATTGTATATGTTTGTGAGTTCTAATATATATATATATATATATATATATATATATATATATATATATATATATTTATTTATTTATTTATATATATATATATATATATATATATATATATATATATATATATATATATATATATATATGATATAACATTCTGGGTTGAAAATCCTATATGGTCACCAGGCTCCCAAGCCTGACCCACTTAGTTTTCTTTGCGTTACAGGTAATTGCTCAAGAGTATAAGTTGGTGGAATTGAGGAGAGATTTTGGATTATAGATCAGTAGTTGTAAATAACTGTTGTAAGGTCTATTTTATTGTGTTTATTCTTTTGGTCTGTATCGGAACATAACATCCCGAGATTTTGTTATTTAATGAAAATACATTTCTTTAAAGAAATGTTTTGATAAATTCTTATCATATTTTTTTGGGAACAAATTCCGCAACTGTTTTCTTTAAAAGATTACTCTGATTTTAAAACAAAGCATAAACAAATCGGTATTTTCTAGCGGTGAAATTGGGGATGTCACACACAGATATATATATATATATATATATATATATATATATATATATATATATATATATATATATATATATATATATATATATATATCATTTTTGGAACATGAAATGGATTTGAAGAATCGTTGAACATCTAAATTTCTAAAGGACCAAAAATGGAGTTTTAGGATAAACGAAGGTCTTTCTAAATGTTTCATAAATATAAATCTATAATGAACATTTTATAAGAATTTGGGCCATTCTCAACGATGCACCTAGCTTTGAATTACTCATGACACCTTTAATTAATATTATGTCATTTCTGATAATTGTAATTCAAAGTGGATTAATTCCAATAAACGGAAACGACAGATCTAGTCAACGAGTACAAGCATCATTGTTTATACAATAAATAGTGGATCTAAACAATTTACTCAAAATTTTTTAATATTCTAGTCAGACGAATCTCTAATGTACCTAAATATAAAAATATTAGCGTACGTCTAAAGTCCTGTAAGGAGTTATAGCCAGAGTCTCCTGGAGAGAGAGCGGGAATTTGTCTATAGATCTATACGGGGTTGACACCCCACACCTTCGTTGTTTGCTATAGCTACACCGGCCAGTCAAGGGTGACAAATGTCTTTAAACAAAACGAAGACACCTGAGAAACGCCAAAATAGGTCTTGGTCATATTAGTATGGTTATAACGACTCACTAGAATATGTTGTTGTACCTAGATATTTATGTAAGAAAAACCTCATAAATAAATTTTGGCACGTTGTGTTGACTACCCGACGCATGGTTATGATGGTTTGCATTTGTTGTGCTGACTGCCCTTTTTCATTGAGCGGAATGTCCATAATCGCCATGTTGATTTGTTTCACCTAACAAGTATTAGAGTCTTAGTACAACTATTCTACAAATCAGAAAAACATGGGATTTCCTGGGGAAAGTGTTGGTATACGATTTTGAAAATGATAAACCATCACATACATATGCAAGTATACACAATTGGAAACAGAACTTACCAGCATTTGGTACCAGAAAAATATAGGATTTTTCGGAGTAAACGATTTTATATGATTTCAATAACGATAAACTAGAACGCACACTCAATTATAAATGATAAGAAAAAAACAAGATTTACATATATATTCTTTTGAAAATAGGGGATTTTCTAGAACTGTTGGTTATTACTACTCAAAAGAACTATTCTCGAACACAACTCTCCTTTTATATTACTCTTAAAATCACTCCTTAAAAGGATAAACGAAAACTATCGACATGCACGCAAATATCCATAATTTTCAAAGCAAGACTTCAAACGATTTCATAGAAAATATCAGCTTTTCTGAAAATACAATGAGAACGATTCTAAACAAGTGTAAAACTATTTTATACCAAAAATGCTTATGAACTCACCAACTTTTTAGTTGACGCTTTTCAAAACGACTTGCATTCTCAGGGATCTACTAAGCAGGTAAAAAAGGACACAGATGCAAGATTATTTTGTTGTAGTTTGGAATATTTATGCTTATGTCTCTTTTCTGTAATTTGAAGGACAAATACAATATGTAAACAATTTAAGTTTGTTATCTCAATGTATGATGTTTGGATTGCTCTGCTTCATTTATATTTAATTGTTATGATACTGCACAATGAAGGCACCCGCCTCCGAACGTTTCCACCGTCTAGTCTGGGGGTGTGACATTTGCGTCAATTGAGTCTGTAGCCCATCATGTAGTGATTCGCTTTTTCACTTCGTAGATTTTTTGAATAAAGCTCAGAAGTATCTTGCAAACATGGATATACCAAAGTAACTTATTAGAAAATCACTTGACGTCGTCCTTGTGGTTGCCCTTAAACTTGGTGATTAGGTCCAAAATAAATTCCAGACAAGCAGTGTTGTATAAATGTTTGTCTTCGAGATAGAAATAAGACTTGAGAAAGTCAACTTCTATTTGTTCTCTGAGTTGATACACTACGAAGAATCCTTCCTTGTATATCTTCCCTGACTTAATTTTCTGAAGTCTTTTGGTGCTTCCTTAGGAACCGCAATCGTCTTCTTCTTCAAAACAGTGGCAATATCCACATCCATCGATCCAACCTCTTGAATACAAGACTTGATCATAAGTTGGATATGGAACATTACATGCCCGTACTTCTCTTTCACTCTCAGTAACATGTTGTAAAGTATGATCCAATAATTAGGATTCAAGGAGGGCAAGTTTGCGAGGTTGAATTCGTAGGCTTGACAAGATGATCCTCTCACTACTTTAAACCATGAATTGGGGAAGCTTTCAGTCTCAATCAGCCTAGTGACCTTCACAGCAACTATCTTGTGTGCGCTCCAAGTTTTGTACTGGGGCTTCATATGCTTTAAGTAAAAGGAGAACAACAGTTGATCGACATTACTGTCTGTGAAAGGAACATTCACAACTTTCACTAAAGCACAAAACCTGAATGTTTTTGGAGTGATTGGAAGATCAATTTGCGAATACTTAGAATTTTAACCATCAAACGATGCAACTGGATCTAACCAATATTAGCTAGGCATCTCCATAGCATCATGTTTAATCTTCTTCAAGGTCCACTTATGAAATAATAACATTTTGCTCTTGAGAGTGGCATGAGCTTCTTTTTCTACCTTTTCCTTCTCTTCAGCCTCCTTCATGATTCGTTGAGTTTCGTTCAATTCAGCATCACGAGCCTTCCGCCTTTTAAGTTCAGCTTCATCATGCTCTTTGTCTTCATCGTCATCGATTATGGGCTCGTCTTCGATCAACTTTTCCGTGCCCTTAGGTTCTTTCTTGATAATGGGCTTGGCAAGGACTTTCGGAGGTTCTACTTTAGATGCTTCTTCTCCCCCTTGTTTTTTTTCAGACAATTAGGGAGAAGCACCCTGTAAATGATACATCATTTCGAAGACTGGGGTCAATATCTTAGCAAGGTGTTTGCGAGCCGTAATAGAAATCATTGAGTGCCTAGTCTCAATGATATCTAAGAGCAAACTAGCGACATCTGTAATGTGGGTTCGCGCAACTACGCTCTTAGATATCAAATCCTTAACCTGTTTCTTAAACTATTGAAGATTTTGATCCAACACTTTGACCTTCTCTGTCTTTTTCGCTAGGGCATCCATGACTTTATTTTCCATCGCCAAATCATCTTGAAGCTTTGTAATTTGTGAAGTGAGGGATGTTTGGAACAATGAATGGTCTTGCTGCAATCCAGTGCGAATCTTCTCTAAGTTGATCTTCTCAGTTTTTAACATTGCTCCCAAGTTCTGAAGAGCTTCATTCATAGAGGAAATATTGTTGTTGTAGGTGGTTCTGTAATTCTCCATGAAAGTAGTCATTTCATATATTAGTTTATCGACTTTTCGGTTGTGGATTTGCAGACATCAACAGATTCTGAAACTGTTGTGTTCATCTTTGCAGCATTCGCAACATGTTCTTCGTTATTCGCACAAACAATAACTCAACAGTTGCTTTTGAATAGGCTTCAGTGGAGGAAGCCTTGGAGGCTAGCAACAGTTGGTCAAGTTTCTCATGAATGGATTTAAGCTTCCCTTTTGAAACTGAGGCTTCATATTCACTTTCAGTCCTGATCTGAAATGGACTATAAGTGAATCCGCCAAGATCATCATCATCACCAGTATCTCCAACGATCATATCTTGATCATCATTACGAATAGGAGAGATGGATAAAGAAACATAGGGAGTGAAGACTAAAGTTGTAGCCCCCGTATCAGATACGTTGACTGAAACTTCAAGATTCGTTGAAGTGATGGGTGTGGTAGTGGAATCAGTTAAGATTGGTGTGGAGAAAGGAATAGTTGTAGGTTGTGATGAATTAATAGGAGGGGGACAGGGAGAAATTGTGATAGGGGTTGAGGTTGTTTTTGGTGAAAGAGGAGGAGAAGGAACAAATTGGTTTACTTCTCGGTTCGTAGTATCCTCTGATTGTGAACTAGAGGCTCGTGGTTCGTAGTTGGATCCTCATTTCGAACATGCTCTTCCTCCTCATTACGAATTGGTTGATTTTATTCAATTTGAACATCCGATTCAGTCTCAGAATCTGACTCTTTGCATGCTGATGGTGTAGGCATTATTCGTTTGCGAGCTGATTGTTTTCTTCTTTTTAGAGTAGAAGCAGAAGATGTTGCTTGTGCCTTTCGCTTTTTAGGTGAAGGTTTTGTTGCACCTGATGGATCTTCTATTGTAGCAGCCTTCTGTACTCCTTTCTTTGATCCCTTACCTCCTTTCTTCGGTTTATCAGCAGCAACAAGGTTTGCTTGCATTTCCAGAGTGAGTGGCCTAAACCCTGAAGGTGTAAGTTGGCGAAACCCTTCTAGAATTTTGCTTGATGCAGGAACGTCCTGAAACATGACCTCTGGAATAGATCCAATGAATGAGAATTTTGAGGCATCGGCAATAATTATTGTTGTTGTATGAAGGGGAAAACTGTCACACCCCAAAACCACGAACGGCGGAAACGTTCAGGGGTGGAGGACTTCATGTACAGTATCACAACAGTGTAATATAATAAACAAGCAACAACATCATCCATTGCATTATAAGTAAATTTTTAATACATGTGTGTTTCTTTCATTGTAGTAAAACACCAAAAGTATACAATCAAAATAAAAGACGAGACTTGTCTGCTCCGTCTTCTCAAAACCTGGCCTCTGTACCTGTCTACTGATGACCTGAGAATACAAGTTATTTTGAAAGCGAGTATCAGCTTTAAAGCTGGTGAATTCATAAGTATATAAGTGTCATTGCCTTGTTTGTGAAAATCTGTTATAAAGGCCATGTAAATCGTTAAATGAAAATGTTGATGTACGTAAGAAAAACCCTAGAAAATCCCTTATTTCCTATCAGTTTGAGATGTAGTCTTCTACCAAGACCCGAATGTTTTGTAAGTAAAATGATAGTTTTCCTTTAATTGTTTAGTACTAAAGTACTTAGTCTAACTCATCATTTATGTGAAAGAATCACAAAATAAAGTAAACAGGAAAATGTACTACTGTAAGTGTTGTCACTGGGTACTAGCACTAACACAGCATATGTAACTGTTATCCCAAGGTACTAGGGTTAACACAACCTATATAACCTAATGAACATCCGAAGATTGTCCAATTGTCCTCTGTAGCAGCAGCAGGGGGAAGGAAGGGTTAGTCCCTGTAAAGGTACTCCTAGTATAAGTAATAACCGTAGGCATCCGTAGATGTTCATCACCCACTGTTGCTAACAGATGGGTTCCGGAATGGTTAGTACCGTCCGTATATCCCGAGGTACCAGGGATAGGGGACCATCTAGGTATCCCGAGGTACTAGGGATAGGGTCCTGTCTAGATATCCCGAGGTACTAGGGATATGCAGGAAGATTTACACAGAAGGTACCAATAAATCATCCTCGCAATTCGAAATACAAGTATTCATGTTAATGTACACAATTAAGTGTATCTACGTAAAGGTACTCATGAGATGCGTTCATGTAAGAGTGTTCATGTATCATGTAATTATATGTAAACGTACTCATGTATCATGTAATCAAATATAAAGGTACTCATGTATCAGGTAATGTACTGGTATAGACTCATGAATGAACTGACTCTTGTGTGATTCCTTGTAATAGGAATTATGTTTGATATCTCCAAATTATCCCTATAATAATTTACTGGAAGGTAGTTGGTTGTTCAAGTAGGCTTATACACTCTTACTACTCAAGGGTGTGAGAAACTAAAGGAAAACTGTAAACTATAACATCAATACATATATAAGAATATAAGTGTACATGCATAGTTTAGTTCAATAATGTAAAATGGTTTTATAAGACATCTTATGGGTTTTGAACAATAATTAACAATGACTTGATGTCATTTTTAATATGCATTTCAAAGGTAAAACAATTGATAACAATGCGTTTTTAAGATTTTAAAACCATTTCATGCATCACATTTTGTAGTATGTGAAATCTATTAAATGACAAACACAGTTATAAAATACATAACAATGATTTAATAACATGTTTGTTTCTACTTGTATCCCTCCCCCCCCCCCTTTTAAAGCATTTAAAATCATTTAAAACATTGATTAGGGTATGAACTCACCTATAGTTGGTGATTGGAATGAACTGAACGGTATAGGATGGCTAAGTGTCGAGCGAGGACTTGTACACACACTATGATCCTAATGAACATATAATCACACATATATGCACTCAATTAGACTCAAATGACTAATTGATAACGTTAAGACATCCTAGACATCATAAACACTTTATATAAGTGTTTTAAGCCCTAAGGATTGCATCTAAGCTCTTGTGGGACAAGTTACTTGTGTTTAGGGTTCCAAAGGACCCTATATGTTAGTTTACTCCCCATAGAACATCACACATGGAGTTTACGGTTGTAAAATCTTGAGTTTACGGCCGTAAACTCCCAACCATGGGTGTTTTGTGTGTTTTGAAGTCCCAAATGATTCCTAGAATTATTCCAACTTGGTGGTTAAGTCCTTGGAAGGGTTTAAGGTCTAGAAATACTCCAATTAAGATTTTACGGCCCTAAGGCCATTCCCCTTAGAGTTTACGGTCGTAAACTCTAATTATAGGGTGTTTTTGTTGTTTTCAAGCCTGTTGCTTTTGAAGGATGTGTTCTAGACAATTGTTTAAGGAAAATGAGGACCTTAGGCACACTTTGGTGCCATTCTTTCATGTTTACGGCCCAGGAGCATTCTCTTGGCCGTAAACTCACTTTGATATGTGATTTGGATGAGTTTTGGTCCTTCAATTAAGTGGAAACAATTCCTTGTAAAGGTCTAGGGCTTTAGGTTTCTTGAAAACACCCTTTTGTCCATTTCTATGGAGTTTACGACCTAAGATACACTTGGGCCGTAAACTCTCCTTTGTTTGTGTTCTTTGATGTGTTTAATGCCCTAGATTTAATGGGAACAATTCTAGGTAATTGTCTAACGCTTTAGGAGCCTTAAAAGTACCATTTAGTGTTTGAATTTGGAGTTTACGGCCTATGATAATCTAGGGCCGTAAACTCCCAAACTTGCGTGGATTTTGGTTGTTTTCTTGTCCCTAACATGCATACATATGAGTCTAAGGCTTTAGCATAACACAAGGGTCGGTTTTGGCTTCGTTTCGGGAGTTTACCGCCCAAGAACACATTGGGGAGTAAACTCCTAAATCTAGTGATTTAGCCTTCTAAATCATGTTATGTACACATATAAAGCTTTCTAACATTACTATAAAGAGTTACTCACATTTTGGTATAAAACCCGAAGATCCGTGAGAGAGAAAATGGCTTTTCTCTAGTTGGAATTGTGAATAATGAATGAATTTGGTTCAGAAATCTATTTGTAGTCCTGAGATATTTTGGAAGAAAATATTTTTATTCCTGAAATGATTTCTAATATAATAGAGTGTTGGAATAATAGTGTTGCACAAAACCCTAGTGCACCCACCCTCCTGATATTTCCTGAAGTGTAAACCCTGAATTACTCAAACTTATGCGAAAAGTCTGAAAATTAACTGTGACTGCTATAACTTCTATTGAAGTGATATAGTTTGTACAGAATGGAAATTTCGGGTTGTCACAAAAACCGTGAAAACAAGGGCATCCTTCATCGTTCCAATGTTGTGTTTTACAATTGCCTTGCGAATAATCAGGTACCAAAACCTTGCGCAAGAAATCTCAGTTTGATGAGAGGTTGAGATAGTACTTTGAATCACCTGAGCCCATACAACGGCTCCAAAATTTATTTTCATCCCTGTATAGAGACCATAAAGGAGGGTCATGAATAACTTACTTGCATAGTCAGACCTCATAATCCTTTCAGAAAAGCTTTTGAACATAATAGTGAATAAGGCATTCCATTTGGGAGGAAGGTTAGGCTTGTGAAATTTCAAGAGTGTAGACAGAGTCTCCTTGTATCCCATTTGATAAAACATCTCCAGGAGAGCAGCACTATAGATCGTTTTTGGATTAATCATGTCCTCTGATTGTGAAAGCCCTAGAAGTAAACAGCATCTGGTTTTGGTGATGGAAATTTTCAGATCATGAATATCAAAGATAATCTTGTTCTCCTCCCTGATGTAGCTTGTAGAAGAATATGCCCTATATAGAAGAGACATTGGAACATCCTCCATTTTGGTTAGAGCATGAACCAGTGGCGAATATTTGAGACACTCGATTATTGATAGAAGATACAGCTCATATTTGCAAGGATTCAGATCAATAAGAATATTTTAATTCGGTTTGATAGCTAAAAGAGAAGATTGGATAGTCTGATCTTCAACTGAGGATGAAGTCGCCATTGTTGAAGGTTTGAAGAAGATGATGAATAGTACAAAGCATTTTATGTGCCATATATCTTTTGAGAAGATTTTTGAAAGTGATAATGAGAGAGGAATCGTCAAAACCTTTATATAGTATTCTATTTGTGAGGGAAATCCGGAGAGAGAATGCATCAGGTACTGAACCATCTCCTGAAAAAGCGCAACTTGAGAACTGTAGATGTCAGACTCGTGCATCATGCGGTGTAAAAACAGCTGGCCGTTTCAAATTCTGCGTGCGCCCATTTAAATTCTTATCATCAGAACTTGCCTCGTCAGCATCTATCTTTTGCAGTTAAATATTCTTTGTCCAACTATTACGAACC